CTGACCATAAATGTAAGGGGCAGGGGTGGACTGACCATTTGGAAACTCGGGCACTACCCGAGGGCCCGGGGTCAGTAGGGGCCCATAAGATGCCCCTGGTACCTTTTTTATAGGCTTTTTTGAGTTTGGGCAAGGAACAGGGGCCCCACGATCCCCTATTGACCGGGGGCCCCATGAATTCTCAGTCCGCCCCTGGTAAGGGGGATTTATACACTGACTACCAATCTAAAGGGACGCTTTACAACCGACATCTAGTGTAAGGGATCACTATATTTTCACAATCTTTCTTTCTGGCCATAACTATTCCTGTTTTCATGATTATTATTGACATAAAGAGCAAGGGGATGTTGTAAATAATTGTAAAATATTCTTTAATACCTTATTTAAATCTTTCAACAGCTTAACTTTTTACTGTAAAAATAGATAAATCATTTCAGCAGGGGTTCACTGAGACCTCAACATTACTTGTTCCTCCAGGGTAAAAATGTTGAGAAAGGCTTCTATATGCTGTCAAAGTTTCAAGAAACATTTTTAGTATTTTGGTAATTTATATTAGAATATTATAGCTGGCTGCAGACTGAAATGGGGCTTTTAATAACTTTAAATTATAAAATGGACATGTGAGGCAATTGAGGCTGAACTGTAAGTAAACAGCTAAATACACTGATGAAATCCTGTCATACATACTGTATATGGGAGTTGTTTTCCTTACCTTCCTGCCACTCATCTAGGGGGGCTGCGCTACTTTTTTTTTTGTTTTGAGCTTGCATAAAAACAGAACCTAAGCAAACCCCAAAAAGTGTATGTGAACACACAAAAAAGTTCACTAGGGTGTGTTATGCTGCTCCCTCCGAAGAGAAGGGATGCTTCCTTGACTTTCTGGGGAGCAAAACTCCTGACAGAGAAAAGCATACTCAGGTCCACCTAGCCAAAAGGCCTGGTGGACCCCTCTCCTTGTCATCAGCCAAAAGCGACAACATATGAGGGGCTTTCCCGAAGAGAGACCTCCCACAAGGTATCAGAGGAGGAAACCTAAGGGCCACATCCTCCGACTAGACTTCATTGTAGGGCTCAAGATCCACCCCCTACCATCCTGTGAGTGAAGAAGAACACACTCACAAAGTGCAGGTGACACACATGGAAGAAAAATAAATAATGAGAAATAAAAAAGATGCCAGTGCATACACAATGGCTAGGCCTTGCAACTTGGTAACAAAAATTGCTCCAATCTCGGCCAAAAGACCTAGTCTATGAGGTGATGTTCAGGAATAAGCTTTGGTGTTGTGGCCAAGTGCTCTTCCTCAAAGTGGAGTCCCAAACCCATAGAGCACCCTCAGGTCACCACTACCAGGGGGCACTTAACACCACAGACTCTTTTCACAGCCCCTCGCCAGACAAGTTAGCACTGTTCAAATCAGGAGGCACTGGGCCCCTCAGAAGCCTCCACACCCTTCCCAGCGGGCACTTAATTTGGTTTCTTTCCCACATAGGACAACCATTAGGGACCCAGTCATACCAGCAAGGATACTATAGAACCAGCCATTCCAGCCAGAAGGCCCAAATGATGGCAGAGAACCCTTAATGCAAACTGATAAGAACAGACACTACATTTGATCTAAACAAAAGGTGAATGACACTACTGTATATGTTTACAGTTACACACCATAGAAGAGATGTCCTCTTTTCACCCCTAACTTACTGATTGTACAGTAAAAGAGCAGCATCCAGCTGATGGGGTCATCCCTTTGTTCCTTGGCAGCACATTTGCATGCAGCATATCTGATTTTCTCTCAGTCCTGCCCACCTTCTCCCCAGTCTGTGTATGCCTGTATATGGGATTCAAAGAAGCTGATACCAAGTCAAATTCAGGAAGTTGCATTAAACAAATACACTTATTAATTTATTAAGGAACACCAACTTGCATTACTGTGTGTCTTTTATTGTTGCCTAGAGTTCAGATTTTAATATGTTGGATAATTTGAATAGTACTTTGAAGAGGGCCTATTCTGTGAAAGCTGTGCAAAAAAAAGGCAAACAGAGAGCAAAGGACTATCAACAGTATTGTTTGTGGGCTCTCTTCAAATTATTGAATTACAATGCCTTTTTCTGCCCTGTGTCTCTGTGTGGATCATCTGGTGTCTGTAAGCTTTCAAGTCTGTGCACTTGCTCTGCAACGCATGTCATATTTGACATGTAGCTGTGTCCATGCAGCTGCTGCATCTGCATCCACCTCCATAGACTCCTGCATGCAGTTTGACATGGATGCTGACATGCAAAAAAAGGCTCATGCATACAGAATGGGTCCGAATGAGGCCATAAAGTGATATTAAACTGTTACTAAACCCAGGACCCTGCATTCACTATATATGGTCTCCCACAGTACACAGAACATGGAAATGCAATTATTTTAGTAAATATAAACTGCTAAATACCTTTTCTCATCAGCAGATAAAGCAGTCATGTGACTTCAGCAGAGCACTGGTTAAAGCTTGTGTAGGAGGAGTTTTCTTTCTGCTCTAGGAGGATGTGAAACCCCTGGCCCTCTGTCTAGACAGTGCTGATTGGCGCTGTGCTGATCAAATGCACCCTCTCAAGAAAACAAAAAACCTCTCTAGCAATACACACCAAACCGCATGAGCATGTGCAGGGTGACTCCAAACCTCTGTCCTATCAGAGATATTTGAGGGACAATGGAAGAAGGGGAGGATCAGAGATGAGAGGATCAATCATCCTTTTTACACAATGCGGGAGGATTAACCCCTTAGATTCCACAATGAGTATGCTTTACTGCATATACAGACTGATTTTACTGTTGTGGGTTTAGTAACACTTTAACTCCTTCCCTCTCTGCCTATTGCAAAATGACGGCCGAGCAGGAATCCTATTATTCTGGGAGGACGTCCACTGGACACGACCGATGACAGATCACTACACCGGCCTGCTGCCAGTGTCATGTGATTGTGATTGGCCATAGCTGATCACATGCTACAGATGGGCTGTGATTGGCCCAGTCTGTACATGTGATCACTGTGACCAATCACAGCAGATCACATGACAGTTATAAGCAATGAATGGCTTTCTTTCATGCCATTCATTGCATACAACTGTACTGCAAGCTGTGATTGTTCACAGTGATCACATGTACAGACTGGGCCAATCACAGCCCATCTGTAGCATGTGATCAGCTATGGCCAATCACAATTGATCACAACAAAAATTACTGCTTTAATCAGTTTCATTCAGTATAAATGCTTGCTTATACAAAAGAAATTTTATAAGCAATCATAAAAAAAAACACAATTCTGATTTTCTTATTATACCAAAGAAATTATAAGCAATCATAACAAAAATAAATTCTGATCACTTGGCCAGAGCAGTACAATGTTACCATGGTAACATTGTATTGCTCTGGTCACAGGAGTAGAAAAAAATCATTAATTTTTTTTAAATGTAATTAAAAAATTTGAGAAATTAAAAAAAAAATGTTTAAATGTTTTTATAATTATTATTATTTTTTTGTTTTTTTACATACTGTCACCAGTGTCCCTGATCTCCACCACATCAGTTACAGTATAATGATGACGTTGTATTGCATTGGTGACAGTATGTAAAAAAAATTGTGAGTTACTTTTCCATTTTTTCATTTTCCACAAAATTATGACAAAAAAATAGACATAACAAAACTCACCATGCCTCTTACTAAATACCTCAGACTGTCTACTTTCTGAAAAGTGGTCATTTTGGGGGTATTTGTACTGTCTTGGCATTTTCGGAAAATCAGGATTTAGCAATTTTAGGATATATACCATAGTTTGGGACTCTATAACTTTCCTACCAACTAAATAATAAACACTGATTTGGGTTATTTTCACAAAAGACATGCAGCAGAATACATTTGGGTCTAAACTTGTGTAGAAAGATTATTTATTTGCAAAATATTATAACAGAAATGAAGAAAAACACATTTTTCCCCAAAATATTTGTCTTTTTTTGCTTATAGCGCAAAAAAATAAAATACCCAGAGGTGATTAAATACCACCAAAAAAAATCTCTATTTGTGTGAAAAGAAAATTCATATGGGTATAATGTTGCATGACTGCACAATTGTCATTTAAAGTGCAACAGCACTGAAAGGTGTCTGGATCACGATGGGGCTCAGGTAAGTATTGGGGGGGCTGCTGCACACAGAAGGTACAGAATGCATGAAAGTAAAAAAAAACTTGAGCCTTTACAACCACTTTAAGCTGGGCCATACATAGAATTTCATTCAAATGGTGCAGTGCTGCAATATATAGCGAAATCACTAAATTATGTGTAAAATATGTCCATTCATCTTCATTAGAACGCTTCCATCCTTCTGTAACCACCAAGTTCTCCAAAACATATAAGTGCAATTATTCCACCACCAGATGTCTGCTCACCTCCAGCAGTATGACCTCACATAGCACTATGTTTGGTCTAACTGTGCTTTTGGTCCCAAGATGGACACTGTAGATCAACTTGATGGATCCCAGCTATGATTCACAACATGTCTGGAATATAACTCCAACCATCATATCACCTCATAAACAAAAGACTGCACATAGTGTGTAAACTTTAACCACCTCCTGCCCGCCATATAGTAATATGACGGATGCAAGGTGGTTCTCTCGTTCTGGGAGGACGTCATATGATGTCCTCCCATTCTCACCGCGCATGCGCGGTTTAGGGAGCGCGCACCGCGGCGATCGGTGGTGCGCTTTGTCCCTTGGACACAGGGGATCACCGATCATGGAAAAAGCCAAGGATGTCGGCTCAGTCATGTGATCAGCTGTGTCCAATCACAGCTGATCACATGTAAACAGGGAAATGCCGGTTATCGGCATTTCTCTCCTCTCGAGCTGTCACGCTGACAGCTCGAGAGGAGAGCCGGTAATCGGCTTTTCGCGGAGGGGACATGTACATTGATCATCAGGGCACTGATGATCAGTGTGCCCTGATGATCAGTGTAGCCCCAGCAGTGCCACCTGTCAGTGTCCATCAGTGCCTTGTGTCAGTGCTCATCAGTGCCTCATGCCAATGCCCATCAGTGCCACATCAATGCCACATATCAGTGCCTACCAGTGCACATCAATGCCACAAATCAGTGCCCATCTGAGCTGCCTTTCAGTGCCACCTATCAATGCCAATCAGTGCCACCTATCAGTGCTGCCAATCAGTGCCACCTATCAATGCCAGTCAGTGCCGCCTATCAGTGCCAGTCAGTATCGCCTATCAGTGCGCATCGGTGCCACCTATCAGTGCCTGTCAGTGCCACCTATCAGTGCCAGTCAGTGCCGCCTAACAGTGCCAGTCAGTGCCGACTAACAGTGCCATGTGTCAAAGCTGCCTTTCAGTGCCCATCAGTGAGTCCTGTCAATGCCCATCAGTACCACCTACCAGTGCCTTCTCATCAATGCCCATCAGTGCCACCTATCAGTGTTCATCAGTGCAGCCTGTCAGTGCCCATCACTGCAGCCTCATAAGAGCACATCAGTGAAGGAGAAAAATCACTTATTTACAAAATTTATAGCAAAAACTACTTTTTTTTCAAAATTTTCAGTGGTTTTTGGTTTGTTTAAGAAAAAATAAAAAACCCAGAGGTGATTAAATACCACCAAAAAAAAAAAGCTCTATCTATCACAAAAAATGATAAAAATTTCATATGGGTACAGTGTTGCATGACCGCGCAATTGTCACTCAAAGTGTGACAGCACTGAAAGCTGGAAATTGGCCTGGGCAGTAAGGGGGTATAAGTGCCATGTAGGCTTGTGGTTAAAACATTTTAATATCTCAAAAATAAATGAATTGCGCACTCACATGTAAAGGGTGCCCAATCGCACCAAATACAATCAGCCTCTGTTTATAGCGATTACTGTGGAACTGTGCTGTGAGGAGTCAGCTATGAACGTTCCCCTTCACTTGATGAGTGATGAAACGCGTCAGCACGACACCCTATGAAGCCAGTGATGGTAGCGGCACTAGCGGTGTTCACTGATTGATATATGGTAACTTTGATTTATCCACTGCATGAGCCCCATCATAGCTGACTCCCCACGGCAAAGTTCCACGCCCCCCTACCCATAACTGCAAAATCACATATGTGATTTTGTGCACCCGTGCCGCCCTGTAGAAGTATTTCTGCTATAGGGCGGTGAAGAACCGGTTAATAAATGGACACTCACCTGTCCGGGGGTCCCTGGCACTGGCACATTTACTGTGGGCAGCTGGCTATGATTCCTTGTAACTTCACAGCCAGCTGCCTACTACGCATGCATAGTAACAGTCCCCCAGCCTTCCAGCCTTCTGTGTCCCAGACTGCAGGCGGGGGAGAGAACTTCCACTGGATCATTGTGGCAACCTGACCAGAAGTGAGAGTGGGTACCTGTCAAAACCAGAAACCCCCCCCCCAAAAAAAACAGTGTCAAAAATAGAATAGTGGGGGGGGCCAAAAAGCAGAACTTCCCCTTTAGGGTAAAGTTCCAGTTTAATATTTTGTCTACACCTGCTAGTTGAATGGAATCTCAGATGTAGGAAACAGGTTTCATTATCATATGCATGATTTTACCTAAACAAAGACCATTCACAGTTAGATTTAGTTTTGTTTGTTCAAGAAAAAATTCCTATCCTGCTCCTTTGAATTGTTTCACTGATTTGCAGCCATTAGAATCCATTTAACCATTAGAAAACGCAAACTAATGTTTTGTACACGATAATTCGAGTGATGCCGTAGCGTTAATACCATTAAACTTTGTTGGAGGTGTTTGTGGTGTGGTTTTAACGCTTGGCAAATGCCTAGCAAATGCCTCAAAAAATGCATATAGGGAGTTTGGGGGAGGGTATGAGGAGCTTTTGAGGAGCGTTAAAAACGTTTCCCAAAGGCCTGTCTAACACCTGTCAAAGGCTATAGGGGCGTTTGGCAAGAGTTAGAAAGAAGTCATGTGTGAACAGTCACAGGCAGCAGTATCTTAGGTGATCTCACACTGCAGATATACAGTTCTTATAGTACAGAACAGCAGCACCTAGGCCACAGGAGGTAAACTTCTATTTTATAGGAGTGATTAGGGCACTGCTCAGGCATAAGTACCATTTCCAGATGTTCCCTTTAGCATATCAAATCTTCACTCTTTGAGTTCAGGTGCACTTTAAAGAAGATTCTTAAGGCATTTCAAGCAGAAACAAAGTTCATATATTTGACATACTAGAAAATAATATTGTTTTCTTTAACACCTGCATTCTACAGTAAGCTTAATGACATCTGTCACACAAGCGTAAGCACTCATCTCCATATTTGGGACTGTTTGACATGCTATTTAATCACATCCATACAGACTCCGATGCTTTTCCAACAAGTAAACAGAGAAATAAATACTACATACTGTTTATTATAAAGCTAATCAATGCTGTGATAGCAAGCAACAATAAAACACTTTTGTTGTTTTATATTTGTTCTTAGGTATAGAGAGAGAATAAATAATAAAATAACATGAGTGAATTCGCTAAAGGGAAAAAAACAAAAAAAAAACAAGTTGAATAAACGGATTTAATTTCATTTGTAGATGTGTTTCACATTTTTAATTAACAGAATCTTGTAGAGCAGATTTTGCATTAAAATATGATGATTATGCATTTTTATCTATGTTACAAATAAAACGTAACTAAGAAAATACAGCTTTTGCAAAGTTTAAAGTCCGGTCAAACTTGTGCTATTTATTATTTTAATTCAGCAGTCAGGCTGCATATAGTTATAATTATCAGTCTCTTTTTTTTTTTAAAGTGGTAGTAAACTCTTCTTTAATAAGTTAACTACAGGTAAACTTATAATAAAGCTTACCTGTAGGTAAAATTAATATCTCCTAAATATGAACAGTTTAGGAGATATCACCCCCTTCTCATAGCCGCCGTATGCACTCTGAAGGAACAGCATACCCGTGCCGTTCCTTCAGAACACTGTGCCGTGGCCTGGACATCCACACAGGAGTGACGTCATCGCGCCTCGGCCAGTCAGCCAGCCAGAGCTTGTGAACCTGGAAGTTAGACTGGGTGAAGATGGAAGCCCCATGGAGCCATTACAGCTTCTTTTTAGATGCAGTTTACTATCACTTTATCTGCTAAGTACTGCAGAAAGGGGTAAAGGAGTAAGATATTCAGTGATAGCAGCACATAGGGGAGTCAGAACACAGCCTTCTCACACAAAGCAGCAGCTTGGCTCTCCAGCAGTCCAACAAGCCCCCCATCTACAAGAGCCCTTTCGCTCCCTGTGCAGTGCCGGTGATTGGAGCAGTGTTCAGGAGGGCAGCTGGGGGGTATGAATAACACTGGAGAGCCAGGCTGCTGTTTTGTGTGAGAGTGCAGGCCAACACTTTAATGTACAGCTAGCATGGGGGATTTTAACCCTTTTGCTGCAGCATTTAGCAATTAAACAAAGTAAAGGGACCCATATTTATTTCTGTATATGTAGCCTGACTGCATTATAGTACATAAAGAGGCTTTGATTGGGTTTTAAGCAACACCTCCTGCATGAAACCACATTTTTCCAAATACCCTTGGAGGTGGTGGTGGTGGGGGCGGGGGGGGGGGGGGGGGGGGGGGGTCAGTGCTTCTATGCATGCAACTTTCAAGGTAAGTATGGATTTAAATACTGTTTCTGCCACCTGATATCCTTGGCATATCATCCTACATCCTGGGTATAGCAATATGGAATTCCAACATAAACCAATCTAGTCTTAATACTTGAGGGTTAGGGATTGATGTGAATGTACAATACACATATATATATATATATATATATATATATATACATATATATAAATATATAATATATACCGCTGCATAAATTGACAGCGCTATATAAGTACCTGTAATAAATTAATAATTAAATAAAAACAAAATTAAATGAATAAATGCCCCCTATCTTTCTTAACACCTATGCTAAAAAAGATGCATATGTTGACCTATTTTCAGCTTGCTCCAGTCCGGTTATGTGCACCTCCAATTTCATTATCTACAAACTGGGGGTAATTGTTCTCAAATTTTTCACAGCCATACATTGTAAAATCAACACATATAAAACCATAAATACCTAAATCTGTTGAAACATGTTAAAATTGTTAACAAAACTTTCACTTAAACTGTTTAATGAATTTAGTGCAAGGCAAAATGCTTTATTAAATTCCCACTCTCCACCCCCCCCCCCCCCCCCATCCCATATCTTCCCATTTGCAGACTCCTTCTTGGCTAGATAAAACTTACCAATGCAGTTGTTTCTTCCTCAAAATGGTTGGCCTGTGTCACCCACACTATACAGGAGTTTACGCTTCTAAAGGTCTCATTAACAATGTCAGTGTGCCTCCTGGGGTTGGTCAAGGAAAAAGCACCACTTAGAGCACAGAGGATATTCTTGTTCGTTACTTTATTCTATATCTGCAAATCTATATTACTCTATTGGAAAAAGTCTGAAGCCCCATCTCTGTCGTTTTGAAAAGGTATAATTAATAAATCCTTGCCCTTATACAAGGCCACATATTTACATAGGAGATGCTCAGGGAAATTTCATAAGGTTTGGCAATGCTGGTTGGCGGACATGTCTACTGCAGGATGAGACCTTCCCATTGGTTCATAACTAATGAAGCTGGTCTACATGCCACTGAGTAATGTACTCTTGATTGTCTACTTGCTGTTCTGAGGAAGAATCCTATTGGGGTTACACTCCGGTCATATGTTTTTCTGATAGAAGGGTACCATGTGGCCTATATAGGCTATAATCCTTTGATTGTGTTTCTTTTTTTTGCTCCACAGTGGACTGCTTATGTTACTGTTTGCTGCTAAAGGGTGGCTGCATAGGGGGGGGGGGAGATGGTTCATCATAGTTAGGATATCTTTGTATAGATAGGTCTGGTTTTGGACTGGGGTTTTTTTTGTATGTTTTTCTATTGTACAACCAAAGAAAATAATAAACATTTTTTCTCCCCCCAAAAAAAGATGGTTAGCCTGCCATGGTATACCATATTGGGTGACAGTCATCTCATGTATATCAGCATCTTATCACCTTTACCACACTCTCTGCAGAAACAAATGGTTCAGCGGACAGAATGAGGACTATATTGTTTCATCCAAAAACCTTCATATAAAAACTTCAGTACTGAGTTTAATTTTTTGTTTTTCACAAATAAGTTTGCCAATGGCACTTATAGTACTATAGTCCTAAAATGATTTGTGTTGTTTGAAATTTATGATATTCAGAGTTGATTCACACATGTGCAGTGCAGATTGAAGTTCAGGTTTCACAGCTAGTTGACACAGTAGTTGTTCAGCAGTTCATGTCAGG